TTTATGTATGTATGTATGTATGCATGTATTTATTTATTTATTATTATTTATTCATTCATTCATTTATTTTTTAATGTGTTTGTTATATCATTCAATTCATTACTTTCAATATATATATATCTGGCTGTATGATGAAATAAATTGTAAAGGAATAGATTTTAAAAACTGAAGGCATTGCATTGTGGGATACAGTGTGTCATGTCTGTAAGCTCTGTTGTGTGTTTGGCAAATGTAGGTCTGGATATCCTAGTATGCATACAGTGCAAACTGCATACTATACACTGCAGCAGTATATGATCGTATAATAGTATGCTGTTGAACTGCTGTGGTGTTTTACGCTCAGACTCCCACTACAGCAACATGAGACGAGATCTGACAGATCACAGACACACACGCAAACACGTGTCCATGTCATCCGTGAGCAAAGCAAACAGACTTTGGCACTGGATCTGATTATGGCTGTGTTTACTAGGTTAGAGACGGACCCACTGGCCCACATTGATGCGCTGATAAACATTATTCAATCACAGCGTCCCAGTGCACTGCATTATTCCATTAGCCCACATACAGACTGAGCAGATCCACCAAGCCTTTAGCGCTCCGTATCCTCAGAACACAAGCATTATAGACTGGGTCTCGCATCACCTGAACGTTTGCAGAATAATCATGTTCTGTGTGCCACATGAAGAGAAAGAGCATCAGTCCAGCTGATGAGAAACTGTGGTCGATAAGGTCACTGTGGTCATCTGCGCAGCTCATGTCTGATTTTGTTGTGGAGCAGCTGAACTTTTAGAAATTGCATTTACATATTAATGTCTCTCATGAGTGTCATAAAAGCACGTACATGTTGTTACTATATTTTAAAATGCCCATTATTGAAGAAACGCCTATAGGTTTCAGAGATGCTTTTTGTTTCTCTTCTTTCATCCTTCTTCTGTCTCAAGCTTTTCCCAGGATTGAGTAGGAAAACATTAACATTTATGCATCTGACAGACGCTTTTATCCAAACAGAGTCTCACTGCATTCACGACACATGTTTAATCAGTTCACATGTTCCCTGGGAATCGAACCCATGACCTGCGGGACTGAGCTGGAAAACAAGGGATTCTGCATTAGATGCCTAAACTAAGCCTGTTCAGAAGCAGCGCATTTAATGGTCTCTATACCTTTCAGAGTCCCACACTTGTCTTCAATCAGGTAAGATGGATCTCTAGTGGTTGACAGAGAAAATTGGATCGCTCTTGTTGTGTTGTTGGGAGCGATTCTTTCCAGAACGACAAGTGGCAATGAAAAATACTGAGTCAGCAAGAGAGAGAGCTTACTAAAAATATGACAAAGCACTGCACAATTCTATTTCCTCTCTGCTCCAAGATATTAGAAGTTCATTTCAGAAACACTTCGATCACAGCGGAAAGCATTGAGATTGTTTGCGATTCAAGAGATTGTGTGTCTCGGCCGTAGTTGAGGATTTGAATTGATTGTACTGATGGATTGAGATTTTAGCTGAGATGCATGAAGACTGAAACACAAGGGCTTCACTCGTTTATCACTGACTAATCAGTCTGATGGTGAATCGACTGTCAGTGAATGATCTTTACAGCAGACGTCAATGAAGACACTGCATCAGGATGATCATTCAAAAATTGCACATTTTGTGCACAGAAAAATATTAAGAATATACTGTATGCTGAGAAAAAACATTGATGTAGAAACAAACTTCACACACACACACCCCTCCCCACACACACGACACTGCATCAGGATGATCATTCAAAGATTGCACATTTTGTGCACAGAAAAATATTAAGAATATACTGTATGCTGAGAAAAAACATTGATGTAGAAACAAACTTCACTTAGAAATTGCTAGTAAAATATTTACTAAGAAACTGCAAGTAACACATTGATATAAAAGTGTGATTTTGCATACTGTATTTTACTGTAAAATGTGTTATTTACAACAGCAAAAAAGTTTTATTTTAAACTAAACAAATGGTGCAACAAATATTCACACAGAAATGGCAAGTACATTTCACAAAAAGTAACAATGAATGCAAAGTGAAATTTTGAACACTCACACACACACACACACACACACACACCCTCCCCACACACACTCACACACACACACACACACACATCCCCTCCCCCACACACACACACCGTCACTTACATACACACACGCATCCTCACACTCACACACACACACACACACATCCCACACTCACATACACACACTGTCACACGCGCATCCTCACACTCACTCTCACATACACACACTCTCACACACACGCACAACGCACACACACACACACACACACACACACACACACCCCCCCCACACACACACACACACACACACACTCACACACTCACACACTCACACACACAAACACACACACGCACGCACGCACACACACACTTTACATTTCAAATGAACCTGCTGGAGAATAATATCAAAGAAGGTTAACCTTCATATTTACTTAACCTTAAATGTCACCTAAATGCACAACGTGTCAAAACCAAAAACTAGAACATATGAATTAATGTAGCAGCGCTTGTAGTCTGTGAAGCAGTCTCTCTGCATTAGTGGGTTTATTTACAATAAAGATCACTGGATCTTTGTGCTTGTCTGCTCACATTTCAATCTCCTCTCTCTGGACATGTGTGGCTCTATGGCTCACAGACCGGTTTGATTCACATGATCTAACCTCACCCATCACAATAAATCAACTGCAGATTTTAGCAGTAAAATGCACAGTCCTCTTGTGTTTTGGTAAATGCACAACTAGTATATGATTTAACCTCGATCTTTGTTCTCTAAATGCATGAAGAGTCAGCGCCGTTGGAATGCGCTCTTTGTAAGTTCATTCTCTGCAGGTCTGTTAAAGTCACACTCACACAGGCTCCTGGTGCTTTGTCTGGTCTGAGGCTCAGATGAACTCTTTATTGTTGTCATCAGTGAGACTCATGCACATGCTATTGTGCTTCATTTGCGTTAAAGCACTGCTAAACGCTGACCTAGAAACACAGCAAGCGGTTTTGAATAGGCTTTGTGAAGAAGGCATACAGGAGCAATCATTTCATTTACACCTACTCAATGTTAAAGCTGCAAACTGAAATTTAATCTGAATTCAAATATAATCCTCATGGCTAAACATATATATATGTACTTAATTAACATATATCATTATCAAACCTCACTGTGTTAATGGTTAATGAAAATGGAAAAACATTTCCAATGTTTTATTTCCCCCCAAAGTGTTTTCTTTGTTTTAATTTATAAATTATTATATTAATAATAATATAATTATTATTTGAGTTATTTGATTAATGTATTAATTAATATTCACTATATATGTAATATTCCTGTGTGTGCGTGTGTGTGTGAGAGTGTGTGTGTGTGTGTGTGTGT